AGAACTATGCAAGTAGTTTTTAATATTGTTTTTCATTTTTATTGTCGTTTTGTCTGCCATCATCAACATGCACTTGAAGCTTCAGAAGGCTGGAATACGAACGCTTATTGCAGAATAGCTGCTGTGTGTATGTGTTTGCTTGGGGTTTTGGCCTCCATTGTGCATTTGTTGTTTTTTCTTGGAATCTGTAACGCCCATTTGTGTCGTACACAGTGTCCTAGCGCGGCGTGGAAACGTGGCCTGACACGTTTGGCCCCGGGCTACTCTGACCTCAGAGAAGGCAGCTGGGCTGTTATTCCTCATCAACAATGCAACTTGTTTTGCTGGGACCCAAGAATTGGTCAGTGATGAGCGGGGGTCTGAGGAATCCTTTTGTTTGTCCCAGTTCTTGTTTTTATGTTTGGAGAAAGGGAGAGTTCTGTTTCACTTAAGCTAAAGTATGCCAAACTTTAGAAAGGGCTTACAAAATATTTATATATTAGTGTTTTTCTGTACCAGGTTACAGGCTGAGGGCAAGCCTGCTTTTGAACTTGCCTTCAGAATTTATTTAAGCTTGTTCCAAGTATGGTGCAAATTTTTGTATTTTAAATATGAATTAATCTTGTCAAAATACCTGTTAACTTCTGTTTAAAAAACCCCTGCCTCTGTCGCTCTTGTTTCAGATGTACTCATGGTTGTTTGATGGGCCAGTTTCCTTTTCCTGGAGCTTTGTGTACTTGGGATAATTAGTTTTTGATTTAGAGGTAACTTTCCCGCTCTGTGTCGGAAATCCCTTGATTGTGTCCTATTGAGCAGCTCCTATTTTAGGGTCATTCCAACCACGATGTGTTGGGTAAATCCACCAAGACAAATGTTTCTCTGAAAGGGGTGTGAGATTTTTTTGATGTTATTTTAAGCAGGTGATGTAACTGGAGCTGACAACTACCAGTGCAAGTCCAGGGTTACATCTGCAGGTTCAGGTTTTGCTTCTGTGCAAAGTGCGATTCTACTGGAGAACAGAACTGCGGTTGTGGAGGAGGAGGGGATTTGGGGGAGTCACTTGAGGTGAAAAGCAAAAACTGGAGGTCCTGCAGTTAATCATTCCAGACTTTAAATGAGACAATCATTTTTATTTCCTATTCCAGTAAAACCTGTTTCAGTTGTACAGCTGAAAGAGCTAGCTGTTCTGTTGTTACCTATATATAGCTAATAGGTTTTTGTTAAACCTGCAAAGGTCTACAAAGGGGGAGATTTCACATTAATTAAAAACACTAGTAGGGTTTTAGTTTCTCTGTGTGATAATGAAAGTCTCTTCTGTAAATCAGTACAACTAATTTGTTCTTTAGCACTTAGCTTATGTATATGGGTGAATAGGAGGTGACTTTTCTTTTCCTGAACCCAATTTCAGTTGAATTACACATGAATCAAACACTCCATTCAGCATTCACGGACACTTTTCCATTGGAGTGAGTTAGAACCAGCGGGGTTTTTCCTGCTGAATGCTGTGTGTTGATAGGCAGTTAGCTTAAAGAAGGCTTTTTAGCAAAGGTATGTATTTTCATGTATTTAAGCGTTTGGTTAGTCATAACTATGTTTAGCAACAGACTCTGCTTAAATTGAATTCCCTGTGATATTTGTGTGTTTTCATTGCGTATTCAGACTCTGAGCTTGATTTGCCATGCCCTACTTCTGTGTAGCTTCATCCCAATTGGGATGCTCTTTCTATTCAGATGTGTTTGTCAGCATCTGGGTGGTGGCTTTGCTTTCTTTGTGGCTGTTCCTTGGTTCTGAGCAGCAATCTCACAAGCTCAGGATGAGCAAATTAAAAATGAAAAAGCAAGTCCTGTTCTCGTTTCTCCTACCTGTCTCTGAATGCATGCCACCAATGTTTCTTATGCCAGTGCTGATGTTTTTCAGATGGTGGTGTGAGCTGATTTAACTTGTTGGAATGCTCTTCTGCCATTTTAGGAAAAAAACCAAAACAAACCGAAAGAAAAATCAACTGCTCTGCAAGCTAGATAGCCTAACCAACAGTTCTGAGTGGTGTAGAGATATAAGGGAGAGGAGGTGAACGTGCGGCAGGAGCTGGAGGAGACCCTTTCCCCTCTATTCCACGTGGTCATGAACATGATGTTGGCTGAGCTGCCTGTAAAAGCCTGCCTCGGCTTTCAAGAGCGTGTGACCAAACGCGTGGTGAAGTTGTCATAAGGCCTTTTTTTTTTTTTTTTTTTTTTTTGCTTAGTCATGTGTGAGGCAGTTTCTCTAGATGTTAAGGATTAACCGAACACAACCGTTTGCCAAATAGCTTCCAGTGCTGGGTCAGGGGAGGGTGCAGGGTCAGGCCTGGCAGTGGGGGGAAGAGCAAGTGAGAGCTCACACGCTGCCTCGAGTCTCCCCACGGAGGGCTCTGAGAGCATCAGCAGCAGTCGTGGTGTGGAAACACCAGCAACTTGACTCAGCAGTTCAAATAAATTGTGCCAAGTCATCTGAAAGAGCCTGAGGGGAAGCAGCTCTGTTTTGCTGACTGAAAAACACAAGTTCCCCATTTTTAAAAAAAAAAATGTGGGTTGAACTTGCTTGAGCACAAGCCGAAAAAAGGTAATATGAAGTCGAGGAAGTGGTTGTTTAGCAAGCTGAGCGATAGGCTTTTGCACCAAATCCCATGGCAGGCTTCTTGAAAAACATTGCCAATGCAGCTATGGTCTTCTGCATCTGCTGAGTATCTTGGGCCAGCTCTAACACGCGTGCGTAGTGGTGGCCTGTGTGGAATCAGTCGTGGAAAAGCAGTGTCTGTGGCTGACTTGATGAGAGCCTCAGAATTCAAATCCTGACTGCCTGGAGCCAGAAAACATGCTTAGATACTGTTGAGGTACAGCAGGTCCAACCAGTTAAAGTAATGGACTAATTCTGCCTTTCCTGTTCGCTGTGGTAAAAAGTGTGTGAGCTCCATCTGTCCTGGATATCAGCACTTTACCTTTGGGTTTTTAGTTCACTCTGAGTGCTTTTTCTTTTAATGGGGTTTTTCTCTTGAAGGTTGTCCTTTTATCCCTCACCTCTTTTGTGGGCCACCATGGAGGGTATTTTAGCTTTTTTTGCCCCATCCCAAGACACTGAAGAGGCAAAACCCATTGCTAGGGTTCTCCCATCTAGCCTGGAACTGACTTTGTGTATATTCAGCTTTATTTGGCGTGCACCTGCAGTGTATCTGTGGTCGGTGAGGTCAGAAAACCCGCTAGAAAGGAGTGGAGAAGCAAGTCCAGCGTGTTTGTACGGCGACTCTCAGCTCTGCTCATCTATCAGTTTTGACACAGCTGTTTTCCTCTCTGCTATAATACGTTCTTTTAAGCCTTGGGAAGCTTTGTGTATAATGATGGTATCCAGTAACAAATGAGCTCTGGCAAGACTTGTGGCTGTCCTTAGTATTAAAATGTTTATCTTGTAGTGGGCAAGGCTGGTTTTTGCTTCCTTTGATGTTGAGAAGTAGCCGCAGAGGGAGGTCTGTGTTATTGCAGGATACCATATAAAGCAGCCTGGTATTTTAGCAGTGGTGTCATTTTTTTTTTACTATTATTATTTTTTTTTCCCCTGCTGCCTTTAAAATAAAATCTGGAAAGGAGATGGCAGTGAAGGAGAAATACAAGCCAGTTAGTTGCACCACTGGAGGTTCAAATTTCAGAAATGCCGCTGAGGTCTTTGCCAAAATGAGTCAAATGTTTTAAGTCTGTAAAGTGGCTCTAACTATAGGTTGAGTTAGCAGCTTAAGGAGGTTTAGTCATACTCTTCAACGCTGCGACTTAAACAGAGGAACGGCTTGCTATAATTGGAGTTGGTGATGTTGCTTATAGTTGGGATTGTATAATGGGGAATGACAGGCAGCCTTGTTCTGGCAGGTCATAAAAACTTTGAGAAGCTTTAAACATGTGAACAGGCAGTTCTTATATTGAGTGTCTCTTCTGTTTTTTTTGGTGAAGTGTGGTAAAAAGCTAGCAGTTTTTAGAACAAGATTAGGGAAGGATGCATCAGTTTTGCCCTATATCAGAAACTGTTTACAGCTGTTATTTGGATGTGTCCTCTCTTTTTTTAACTCCTGTTTCTACCCGTTTGACAAGGGAGTTGAAACTTGGTTATGGACTAGTCACCTAAGCTTCGGGAAATGCCTTTTGCTGCTCCTATTATAGCTATAGTGAATTTGGCTGTTCTTAAAAAATTATGTATAATCTGTATATGCTCAGATACTTGTCTGGCTATGTAATCCAGGCGGTTTGGGTCAAAGCCAAAAGTATAGAGGTAGATTTAGACCACCTTAAACATTTAGTGAGCGTGCTTAGCCGTAGGTGGGAATTGTACATACAAATCATCTGGGAGCTGAACTTCTGTGCCCCTTTACTTGAAACACTTGAAGTGTCTGGAGGGGATTAATATAAATGCACTCTTTATGAAGTTAACTGGAGATACGTTGGAGCTAAAAGACATGGTGTGAAACTCTGAGACCTGAAGAGGTCCTGTGTATCTTGATTTAAGTGTCTAAAATCAGTGGTCGTGTAGTGGTGCTCTTCATCATCGTCTCCCTAAGCAAAAGGGGCTGCCTGGCCTCTGAGAAACGGTGCACTAATTCTTGCCAAGTGCCTGGCTTGCTACGTGTAAAGTCATGAAAGCTGTATGGAGAATTAAATAAATCTGCACTGAGTATGGATTAAATGGGCCTCCTCCAAACAGAGAAATGAACATGTTATTTAGGGGGAATCCGTTCAATGAATGAAGTCTTTTCTGTGCCAGCCTGTAATCAGCATCTCCGTTTCCAAGCCGTGTCAGAGCAGGGGGGCTGGGGTGGCTGTGGGGAGCGATGCTTGCGCAGGCAGCCATCTCTTCCAATATTTCCCCTCTCTCCAGGGGGGACACAGCCACGTTAGTGTTCCTGGGTGTTTCATGTGGGGTTTAAATGAGATGTATATTTACTAGACACCTTTCTGTGTCGCAGTGTGATGCCCGGTACTGATTGCCCTTGCTGTCTGATTGAGCAGGTGTTCTGGCGCTCTGGGCCCTAATCACGCATGTGATGTATGTGCAGGATTACTGGAGGACCTGGTTAAAAGGGCTGAGGTTCTTCCTCTTCATCGGGATCCTCTTCTCAGCTCTCTCAGTGGTGGGATTCTGCACATTCCTGGTTCTGGCCATCACCAAGCACCAGTGTAAGTACTTTGTTACAGCAGGCAGCTGGGAGAAATGACTAGCGATGCTGGGGTTACTGGGATTGGATTTGAAGGAACAGAAGAGCCTGCAAAGCAGAGCTGGGGGTCAGAATGTGAGGGCGCTTCTGCCATCTCTTCTGAGAGGTGTTGAGAGACTTTTGGGGAGGGGCTGCAAGAACACCATTGCATTTATTTTTTTCTGCTGTGATATCTTGATGACACAGGAGTAATCCCGCTGCCTGATGAGTGCTGCTCCCCTAGGGCATCCTCTCATATTTGAGAGCAGCCGTGATGGGCCTGGTCTGTAGGGCTGCTGGCGGGCAGGCCACATTTTCCAGCCTTGTTTCCTATAGGAACTGGCATTTACTTATTTCTATGACAAATAAAGGGAGTGCTCTTAAACAGTGTCTCTTCAGCACTCATAAAGCAGGTGGGTGAGGATATTAAAATCCAAACACGAGTCAGCAGGGTGAAAATGCCTTCTACACTTAGTCAGCATATAAAGCTGTGTTGCTATAAAATATTTAACACTGTCTAAGGAAGGTTCACTAATTATTTCCAGTATTTGCTTGGCAATAGACCAAAGAGAGAAAGTTTGGGGCTTGTTTTTTTTTTAGAAGTTGTCTGTGTTTGTTGCTTGCTGCATTTGGGCCGATAGCCACTAAGAGTCCTGTTGTGGTTGTACTCGTGGTGGTGGGCACGCTGTGTTGGGGTCGTAACCCACCGAAAGCCCTTGGCTTAGCCCTGATACGTTCCCCGTGGAGCTTCGAGTGCTTCAGCCTAGTGGAAGGGTATGAAAATACTCGTACGCAATCGTTAGAAATACAAATGGAAAAGAAAACCAAATATTTTTCATCACCTCCTTTCTTGGAGACAGGAGGAAAAACTGGTTTGGGGAATATTTGGGGTTTTTTAGGGAAAGCCCTAATTTGAGGGGAAACTAGAACATCTGCACAGGTGATTTATGTGTGGAAAGTTTAGAACTGGTATACTTAATGAGTGGGATTTACTGAGTAAGTATTGTTTTGTGTATTCTTCAAAAAAATTATCATCTTTATTTTTAATAATGACCAAGCAGCCTGTGCTTGGAAGTAGAATTGTTTTACGCATTAGGTTATGTAAGTGTATTTCAAAATCCTTGACATCTCTAGAACAAACAAAAAAAACTTTGAAAATAAAGACTGCTGACATGCACTCAGAAAGCAGAACCATACCCACTTGTCCTCAAAGTAATCCCTAAGTCAAGGCAGTTTTATGTAGATAAAGAAGAAATGTGTTCATTTGCAAAGATTCTCTAAAAAGAGGCTGTTCATGTCACTCCCTGATGTGTGATTATCACAGCACTGTATTGCAGACCTGCAGTACAGGTTGAAGTGCCCCAGTATTATATAAAATGTCAGTCACAATGATCAGTAAAAGCATTTTTAGAAGGAAGATACATTTTATCTCTTGTTTTCCCCTGAGATGTTCAGATTTCCTCTCTCCCTGCCGTGGTGGGGCAGAAGGGAGTAGAAATAAGGCAGGGTGAGAGAAATTCAGAACTGATGCTTGAGGTTGTTTTCTTGAGCCACATGTTTCTGCCGTCCAGGAATTCACACAAACTCCATCTGTTGGGCCCTAAGCAAGGAGAGTTTGGGGTGGCCGAGTGGGTGGCCTTACAGCTCTCAGGATCTGCCTCTGGAGATAATAATGACCTTCTTCAGACTGTGACCAAAATACTCTCCTGTGGCAGAGATGAGGAAGTTTTACAATGGGAAGAAGGCACTGATGAAGCCTTGCTGGCAGAACGAGTTCTTTAGATGCAGGCTGAAAGTCTCCCGGGAACTGGGGGGCTGAGTTGGGTTCTTTCTGGCCAGACTCCATGAGGGATAAATGGGATTTTTAAATGTGTCTGTATCCTTTTCTCTCCTAGCCCTGACTGATCCCAGAAGCTACTACCTGTCGTGCGTCTGGAGTTTCATCTCCTTGAAATGGGCCTTCCTGCTCAGTTTGTACGCTTACCGGTACAGGAATGAGTTTGCAGACATCAGTATCCTCAGTGACTTCTAACGCTTGGACTTCAACCCTGTCTGAAGGTGCTGGATGTTTGAATTGCCCTCCAGAGGCATGGTACATGCAAGAGATGTATGAGAGGTGGAGAAGGAACCCACCCAGTGCTGCTTGGTTTGTCTGTCTGCAGTAGGGGTTTTTCCTAATTGCTTTTACTCAACCATTTAAAGTTTGGCTAATGATGTCAATCTAGTCTTTCTGTAACTTCCCTGGGAGTCCTGTGTCTGGTAGTGAGGTGAAAGACTCCACGTGCTTACACGCAGCAGGCCTAGATCCACTCTTTGTGTTGCCCCGAAATCCAGGGGAGCTTTCAAGTGGGGAGGAAGTCCTGGGCCCTCGGGGTTGGTACCTCGCGGACGCAGCACCCCGACATCTTGTCCTCACGAGCGCATCCCCAGCCTGCTTCAGGTGGGTGCCCCAGATGCGGGTAGCAAAGAACCCTACTGTGTGAAAGTCAGCTCCTTTTGCACTGCCCTGCTCCTCAGAGGAAGGGAGAGATGAGCCCTTCCTTGTGGCAGAAGGCCCTACCTACCTCCCAGCCAATACCCCGCATCCTCCAGGATTTTCCTTTTACACTCTGTACACCAGGTCAGCTCACTCCTGGGGTCTGGAGGAGCCTGGAGGGATGGGCCAGCAGCAGAGAAGCACTAGTCATCTCAAGGCTCTGTCAGAGGTGGAGAGCGCTGTTTCTGGCTGCTTTTAACAAGGAACTTAATACCATATTTAATGCTCAAATTTATAGCATGTAGAATCACGTGTTTGGGTGAAAGATGCGCTGGGCAAAGGCATAAACCCCTGGAGAAACATGAATATGATTCTCAAAAAAAAAAAAAAAATCATCTTTTTGTAGGCAGTAGCATTTCCTTTTCTTTGCTCAGCTTCCCTGTAACAGTCAGCAGGACGAGAGAAGGGAGAAGACACAGTACTCAAAAATAAGAAAGGTATCCAGAGTCGGCTTCCAGCAAGCCTCTGTAACGAGAGCCACTGGCATAATGCAACCCCAGATAAATTGCTGGGCCGCTCGTGCGGCGAGTTAAGGGGTGACAGGTCTACACACCTGTGCTGGAGACAGCAGGGCTTGGCTGGCAGGTCTGTGCCCCATGGCAGCAGAGCCTCCCCTCTGCGTTCCAGCCGCGCGTGGCACTGCCCTGACGAACCTAAACCCCGAGTGGATTTTGTGACCCCTTTCATCCCCGTGTTTGCCCCCTGCCAGCAGCTACCTTGAGAAGCTTGAGACCGCCAAGCGTTTGCATCTTCCCTTGTTCTCTACACGTACTTCAAACCAGCTTAAAGGTTTCGGGCTGCTGCTCTGGCAGAATCCAGTTTTGCCGTGTCAGACAGACGGTGCTGGCTGCTACAAACTGGAGATGGCCAACTTCCGTGACTGATTCCGCGTGGGTGGGAACGAGGCAGGAGGAGCCCCCTTCCCTTGCAGCCCGAGGGAAGGTGAACAAGGTGGGTGTTTGAAGGAGCCTCCCAGACGCGGTTGTCCTGCCACGGCTCCAGGGGTGCTGCTGGAGCCTTCCCCCAAGTGCCGTTTTGGCAACGTGTGGCAGAGGGGGGGTGGGTGACGGGACCTGCTCAGGGCTTTGTGGCCACGTGAGGTGCGAGCGGAGGGTCCTGCGTGCTCTGTTGTCAGCCCAGGTTTCTCTCGTGCCACGCATGTCTGGTTTTGTGCAGCTGGCTGCTGGGGACTCTCTGTTCCCTCCTCCTCGCCGTGTGCTCTGACTTAGCTGTGTTTGAATCCCTCTCCGTGCTCAGAGGCTCCATCCACACCTTCGCTGTTCTGTGCTTTGCTTTGGGAGATGAGTGGTTCAAGCACGAGGTAGTTCACTTGAGCTGTTGAGGGGATTTTGGAAGTGTTTGGCAGCGTCTGTTGATGGCAGTTTCCTGTTTCTTGCGCAGGAAGAGCCTCAGGTGACTTAACTGGGTTGAGGAACATCTTTGGGTCAGTGTGTAAACGGAGGTTATAGCCAGCTTTTGCCAGGGGACCTGCTGGAGTCACTCAACCCAGAGAAAGGCTGCCAATGTGAAATGCGCTTTCTTATGAGACTAATACTCAGGCTTTGAAATACTGAAATCTCCCTTTCCGCTGGCGTCGGGCGGCCAGCGTGCCTGGCAGGGGATGGGAGGCCTCGCTTCACTTCCCTGCCCAGCTGTGGAGCTTGCAGGTGGTTTTAGCATCGGTCATTTCAATAAGCCATTTCTCATCCTGCCTCCCCCCCCCGACACCCCCTGCCTGCGCCTTTGCTGTGCCGGTGCCGCTCGGGATGCGGGAATCCCGACACACTGGTCGGGCTGGGGGAGCTCTGCTACTGCCTTACAGCAAAACATTGTCCCCCTATGTCACTGAATTGCAGAGCCCTCCTGGCTGCACGCCACTGGCATCTCGTAGGAGCACATCAGGGGCTCCCTTCATGGGCACGTGTCCAAAAGTCCTATCACCTTAACCCCCCCCCCCGGAGTTTTTTAAAGTTTATTTTTGTGACTGTAAATTTGCCTACAAGCAGCTCACTGAATCTAACCCATTTTCTCCCTGACGTGTTTTAGCTCTGGACTTTCTACTTGCATCTCAGCTTTTTAAAAGATGGTGTATGTAAATATATAATATATTTTTACATTGTTTATGCTTCGTTTGCACGCTTGGTGTAAGATTTGGTGCTGCGGTGGGATGATGTAATTCACAGTGGGGTTCATTTGCGTGTATCCCATGTTTCCTTGTACTAAACCACACTATAACTTGTATGTGACACCACAATAAGAGCAGAAATACAGTCGTCTTTCTCACCAAACCTGTGTCTGGAGTGATTTTCCCTATTAGGTTGTTAAAATTTGTCTCTCTCCCTCCCTTGATGACAACCTGCAGCATCAGCACTCCTTGGGGGAAGACAGGGGTGAATTGTACAAAACATTTTGCTTTTTGGGGTGATGTGGAGCCCCAGCGTTTAACTCTGCCGCGCTCCGTCCCTCGCGTCTTTCTCGGCGCCCTCCCCATCTGGATCCACAGGCAGTGATGCCTCATGTGGGTTTTTCCCCCCCCCTCACAAATCCCTCTGCATTTTGAGATTTTGGCACGGAGGAATTTTTAAGTGGCGGGGTTTTATTTGCCCTGTAGTCTGCACCGGCAGCAAAGGGCTGGGGGGGGGGGGCGGCTGGTTAATGTGCTGTGCTGGGGACGCCCCCCCGTTCCCATCCCTTGTCACCCCCACCTCGGACAGGCCACCACGACTGTTTGCAGAGCCCAAACCGTGGCCACCTTCTTAGCAAACCTGGCTGCAACTTCAGTCTGTGGGGAGGGAATATTTCAGCTTCCTGTGCAAACCCATATGCTGACTGCCTGGGGCAGGGTGCTGACTTTTTTTTTTTTTTTTTTTTTTTTTCCCCCCCCACCCCTTTAGCCAGATTTTATTTTTGCTGTTGGAATGAGATCGTCCTTTAGCCGTCTTCCCCCTCCCAGTAGCTTGGCCAGAACTTGCTGTCGGGGTGTGTTAATTAGCCCGGTGTGACCCCAGCCACGAGGCAGCTCTTTGTTTTATGTTCCCCCCTCGCCTTGTGCGCAGCCTGAAGGGAGGCTTGTAGGTGGATCGGACCCGTTTCGGCCAGGCTGCGTCCGAATGAATGCGGGGGAGTTTGGATTAAGCCATCGGTTTCCTCGAGGGCGGAGGAAAAAGGCCGCTGGCGCCTGCGAAGCCCCATTTTGGGGGGTTTCAGGCGCCGCTGGCTGCAGCCGGAGCTTGGTGCCCGTGTAGCAGCAGGTGGAGAGAGAGGAGTTGGGGTGTTCCTCTGCCAGCGAGTCCTGGTGACAGGCGCGGGTATGTCCCTGGGCTGGACGGAGGACAAACAGCTCCGTTATTTAGCTACATTTTGGCCCAAACACTAAATATTAATGTAAACAAGGCCTGGCTCTTTTAACTGTTTCCCTCTGCTTGCTGATAGAAACGAGAGGAGAGTTTTTCCCTGGGGACAGTCTGCCCGTCTGGAGTATTCAAGCTTTTAGGGGCTGCTTTTCATCCTCCTCCCCCGGCACTTGCCTCTTGCAGGGCTGGGCTGCACGTTCACAGGTATATGACGTTGCTGATAATACTGAAACGAGCTGGCATTCATCAAGCATCGTGGATGAAGGCTGTCTTTAAAAAAGATAGGTGGGGGCCTATGCCATAGGAAAAATGACCAGGTTTTCTAATCATCTAATTTAAAACCGTGCCTGCAGGTGAGAGTCCCTAAACCCTCTCCGGCCCTGGGTGCTGCCGGGGCTGGAGGAGCAAGCTGCCTGCCCCCCGGGTGGTCCCGAGGCTCACCCTGCGCAGATGAGGCGGGGGAATGGCAATCCTGCCCCTCTTCTTCTCTTCCTCTTAGGTTTTGGGGAAAGAAAAGGCAGCGTCGGGAAGCTGAGCAAGGAAAAGAAGCGCAAGGCGGTGTCTTCAGCGCTGAAGGGCAGCTGGAAGTTCGGGGGAAGCGCTGCGCTGGGGATCCCTCCTCTCCAAGCTCGCCGCCGAGCTGGCCCTCGAGCGGCTCTTCCCCTCCCAGTCCTGCCCAGTGGCACAAATCCTGTCGCTGAGGCTGGGACCAGGACCCCGTGCCACCCCCCAAGTCCCCTGGCTCAGCGAGGTTTGGCGGGGGGGGGGGGACGACGACGACGACGACCCAGGCATCTTGATTCCCGTTCATCTGTTTGTAGCCCAGCCAGCGAGTGCAGCGGCTGGTGGGAGGCCGCGGTAATTAGAACATTTGGAAAAAATTTGGGAAGCGCTGGGACAGCGTCTCCCCTTTGATGCTTTTCCTGCAGGAGGGAAGAGTCCAAGGCTCCGCGGCCGGCGTCGCTGCGCGGCGAGCTCCGCTCCGACTCCCGCTTACAAATGAAACGAGTTTGCCGGGCTCGGCCGCGTCCTCGGCGGCACCACTGGCCGCCTGCTCACAAGGGGCCCAGAGCGGCTTTGCTGGGGGCTTCTGGGGCGAGGTGAGAGGTGTCCTCCGGGGGAGGGAAGGGGCAGAAAGGGGGGGGGGGGGTGTCGTGTCCCACCCCCCAAACCCGGCAGCAGCAGCTTTTGGCGGCAGCACAGGAGGGAGGGGTGTGGGAGATGGGGCTGAGCCCCCAGCCTGGCTGAGCACCCATGGGTGCAGGGTGGGCAGTAGCCAGTGGAGGGCAGCAGTGGCCTGGCCATGGCTCCTGGGGGGGGGGAAAGCTGGGGGGGCCCCCCCAGGAGCAAGATCTTCATCCCCGCAACACCCGCGTCACGGGGATGTGTGTCCAGCTGAGGGTTTTCTTGGAGTTGGGGGGGGGGGTGTGTGTGAGGCTGACCCCTTCGGGGACCGCCACCTCCCACCGCCCTGACCCCACCGTCCCAGTCAAAGCCGCCGTTCCCTTGCGGACTGAGCTCTGCAGAAATCCTCGTTTCGCACCTCTGCCCCAGCCCAGGGTGACGGGAGGGTCTGGCAGCCACCGCGGGACAGTTTGGGGGTTCCCCTTCCCTCACCGGGGGTCTCGCAGGCGGCTCTGGGAGCCGCTTCTGCACCGGGAGGTCGCTCCTGGCACCGTTCCCGGCTCGTTCGTGAAGAAATCTCAGCTGGTTTTGTTCTGCTGAGGAGCCACCGAGTCTCTGCCGTCGACGAGGAGGTGATGGGGACTGACAGCCCCGTGGCACACGCGCCCAGGGACGCCCACGTGAGCGAGCCCTTCCCGGGGGACTTCACCCACTGTCCCTGTTCCCTGGGTCGGGTCCAGGGGCTGAGCTCGGAGCTGCAGCAAGTCCAGCACCGTGTCGCCGAGCTCCGGGACGTCCCCTGGGCTGGAGGCCACCGAGGAGCTCAGCAGGGTCCTGCAGTGCCTCTCGCCGTGGGATGCGCAGGGGTGTAGGTACCCCCCTGGGCATCACCTGGGCCACAAAACTGCCCCTCGGGCTGGCTGCAGGGGC